ATCAAATTTTCAAAAGCAATTTTGTTCGCATGTTCTTCAGATGTATAGTGTAAATGTACTCAGAGTATGCAAATGCTCAAAAAAAAAAAAAAATTGCAAACATACTGATGGGTAGGCATGTGCACTGTAAAAATACTTCAAAGATCATCTGAGCATGTAAGTGTATAAAAAAAATGTACAAGTGCAAATTGTACAAACACCTGCACGTGATTTGATAAATATATTAATTCCCAAACTTGGAGGTTAGAATGTTGATGGGAATAGAAAGAAAAAAAAAATCCAAACTCTTATTCCGAAGAGCATGCTATTGCTATGTAAAACCTACAATCTTTTTTAAAATCGTAGACTCTATTTACTAAATTAAATTTGTCCGCATATGCTTCAACGAACATGCTAAATGCTCATACGTAAAGTCTTAGAACGTTGAGAAGACTGAGAATAAGTTGAGAATAAGTTGAATGCGAATTCATTCCACCCCAAGAGTCACACAATTGTTCTTGAAAAGAGTGCAATCACTTTGAAAATTTGCAAAGTCTCTCTTAAAAAATCAAAATCATTAACATAAATATATGATACTCTCAAGTGGGTTGCTATGTCTATAGGATAGAGTTGAAAGTCTCACATTTCAAGTTTGAACCTCCTCCTTGCAAGGAATACAGTTGATAGAACTTGAAGCTTCTAAGAGATGCCTAAAGATTATATTTTAAATATTTCACCATACATCCTATTATCAAGAAGGACATACGATTACAAAATTTATGGAGATATTTTGTTTTATGTTTATATTAGATCTTTAATGCTAATTACAAAGAAAATTCATTACAATAACTGCAAACTCATGTGCAACACTTGTATGGTAGCTGACATTGTTAATACTTGAGCCTGATCCTCTTTTAGTAAGCTAGCATTGCTAAATAATAAAATAAAATTATTCAAATATCTTGATGATAGTCATGTTGACAGAAAATATCAACCAAATCAGACAATATTTTGAGATGCTCTCAAATCCTTGGACAAATCATTTTTGGCTTCATGTTCAAGAAAAACATCAAAAAAATTTTATAAAATTCAAAATGTATAAGTGAAATCTATCACCTTAATACTAAAAACAATAATCTATTCATCATTTACAACAGTTTGACAATTATGATAATTTTGATGATAAACTCTGTTCACAAAGAATTTATAAAATTTAAAATGTCTAAGTGAAATCTATCACCTTAATGCTAAAAATGATAATCTATTCATCATCCACAATAGTTTGACAATTGTGATAATTTTGATGATAAACTCTGTTCACATAGAGCTAATGTCTTATTAACTATATTATTGTGATTTATTCTCAAATGAACTCTAACTAGTACAGAGGTCACACGATCATTTAATCGGTGATTGTCTCCAAATGGTACCACAGGTAAAGGTCTATGACCGGGCCCCTCTGATTAGGTGATTTTGCCACAAAAGGATACAATTAAATTATGGTTACGACTAGAGTTTACAAACTCACCTGATTAAATGATCGTGTGACCTCTTTACAAAGTCACTCATCCACCTAAGCATCCTCATATCTATAACACTTAACTTAATATTATGCTTCTCTTTTAATGACCAACATTCTGCGCCATAAAGCATGGCAGGGCTCAGCACCATCTTATATAATTTTTTCTTAAGTTTGAGGATTACTTTTCTATCACATAATAAGCCCGATGAATTCCTCCACTTCAACAATCCAACTTGATTTCTAGTTTTCTACTAATAATATCCCCATCTATTCCACCATCACTCTAAACAATAGATCCAAGATATCTAAATATCCTCAATCATTGATTTTAATTCACATTTATTACAAATTTACTTCATATATAAATTTAATATAAATAATTGCTAATTTCTGTTATATATTTAAATATAATTTATGCCTATAAATTATATATATATATATATATATCATAAAAATTTAGTTTTTATATTATATAATTAAATGAATAAATAAATAAACATAAAATATTATTAACTAAAAAGTAAATATTATTTACATTATAAAATAAATTTAACTTATGTTTAAAAATATCTAGTTATATACTTGTTAACTTGAGAAGAGTTACTGTTAGTTCTTTATTACCACTCACCTAGACACTTTAGGTTAGTAATTATGTAATATAGCTTTTTTTAATTGAATGAATAAAAAGTCATATGGATGGTAATGCCATGTGCGTAAGCTGTTGGAGCTTATTTAAAATGATTATTATAACAATTTAAAATTGATTTAAAATGTAAACATATGAATTTGCCATTTTATATTAAATTTATTATATAATTTATTTAATTATAAAATATATAACAAGGTTTTAAAAGGCGAAATCGGGAATCGAGGCGTTTTCTAAGCGAGGCGGCGTAGCCTCGAGGCGGATCGAGGTTTAAGCCTCAAACGATTAAATAAAATTAATTAAAATAAAATAAACAAAAAATACCAAAATATTATGTCAACTATGAATTTGAAGATTTTTCAAGATAATATTACTAGAAATACAAGATTTAAAATAAACTAACTTAAAAAATAAAACATCCCCTAGGATCAAGACCCTAAGCAGGCTCATCATTACTTTGATGTGTTTCCAGAAGAATCTTCATAATTAATGTCAAAGTCATCCTCAACTCTTCTTCATCTATAACATTTTTTCCTTATCTCCTATATCAGTTAAATTTCATTAGCTCTAAAATGAAACAATGGTAACATACAAAATAATTCCATTATATTAAGAATACTTTGATTTTTTTTGAGGTTCCAAATCTCATTTTGGTTTCTTTCTTTTATAATACTTGGTAGTTGCCTTCATTTGTCTTCTTCATTGACATGAGTTTCTCCTTCTACTTCAACTTCAGAAACATCAGCATTCTTAGGAGTAACCCATTCATCATTAGATTGTAACTCATCAACAAGCAAATGGTCAATTTCATTCTCATATTTCCTTGATTCTGCAATTTGAGAGTCTATCTTTCAGTTTTTTGTTAAACATAACATAAACTAGTTTGTTCATTTCGATCTGGCCGCAATCGATTTCTTCTCTTTGTATGAATTTGATTGAAGATGCTCCAATTACGCTCGCATTGCAGAACCCGAACATGTTAGGCTAAGAAACTTTAAACTGCAAAAGCTTTCAATTCAGGAACATCATCTTCAAACTGAGCCCACCAACGTTCTACATGAAGACAAACATGTATTTATGAATATTGTTTGTATGGAAAGATACCGAGTGGTACCGAGCATGTACCGATCGGTATAGAGCATATATTGCTAGTCCGAGCGGTACTGGCTCGGTACCAAGCATGTACTGCTCAGTACTGAGCAATACCTAGCGATACCTAGCAGTACCGAGCATTTACTGAGCGGACAAATGAAAGAAAGCTGAATTAGGAGTTATTCAAGCTTTCGTTATTGCGCGTCAAAGTCAAGGCCCACAACACTGCTCACCTGCTCTTTCGACCTAATCGAGGCCTGAACGTTTCCTGCTTTCGAAACCATTATTGCTTTCGGCTTTGTTTCCTGCGTCGTCTCCTTCCGACTTCGTCTCCTGCACTCACGGCTTCGTCTCCTTCCCTCACAGCTTTGTCTCTTTCCCTCACGGCTTCGCCTCTAGTTCGCCTTTCAATTCTCATTGGAAGCCCTAATCCTATACGCGAACACGAATCGGCTGCATCGTATTTACATATATACCGAAGAAAAAATTTTGAAGCGGTGCCTCGTACTGCCTCGAGGCGTTACTCTCTGATGCGTACGTCTCGTGTGAAAAAATCGTAGGTTTCGCTGGATGGTTCGAGGCGTAAGCCCCGATACGCATGACTTCCGCCTCGACTTGAGGCGCGACTCAATGCGGACGCCTCGTCCGCTTTTTTAATGTTTGATATATAACAGAACATTCGGTTCTTAACAACCAGGACTGGTACACCGGTTTAGTGGTTAAATAGCTAGTTTGAACCGGTTTTATTCGGTTCGGCTCATTGCAAAGCCAGTTTTAGAGAAAATTTGAACCGGGTAGTCAGCCGCTTCCAGGTTGAACCGGTTGGTCCGGACCAGTCCCCCGCACCCCCCCCCCCCCCCCCCCCCCCCCCCCCCCCCCCCCCCACACACACACACACACACACACACAAACACTTTCTTTTTTTTTCTCAATAGTTTGTAAGTTGAAAATCAACTTTGTTGGAACGATATTTTAGGTATGTTCCTAGGGAATTGCTTCCATGTATTTTAGTTCTTTCTTATTTATTTATTTGTTGAGTTTAAGATGTTGTGTTATAATTATATGAATTCATTTTGGTCATCCTATCAACTTCTATCAATGTTTTGACAATTGTTTACCAAACAGTTGCAACTCAGAGAACTGGCCTTTGCATGAAAGATGCCCCTAAAACTCCCGAGTAAAAACTAGTGCTAGCAACTAAAACATGCATCTAAATGTACTTCCAGAAAGTTTTCATTTTATCCCCGCATAGAGATTTCCTTAATCCTTGGATAATCAGGCTATTGCTACTCTATTATATACCATTAGAAGATTTAAAAACATTTGAATCTCCTTTCTTTGTCCTTATCACTCGATTGTCTTCCAAACAAAAGAGCATTTCTTGTTATCTTCCTGGTACTATATTTATGAAGGCGGTAGGAAATATCAGTTCCTTACAACTCACTTGATTGTTGAACCTTTAGTCGGTTAGTGGTATGGGAAGGTTCAATTATTCCTGCATGTTTACTATCTCAATGTTGAGCGGGAATTTTTTGGCTATGTATTTCTTGGTTTAATTATTTTCATATTTGCTATACTGGTTTATTTATTTTGCTGACATTGGCATACCTCTTTACAAATTTTGAGCTTCAATTTTATAATTTCAACGTCAGTCATTGACACTGAAATTTTGCCATGAAATTGGTTGCAATTTTCTCATTAATAGGTAATTAGGTATGCTTTGCAAGGTATTATAATTTAATTGGCTTGGATGCAATGCAGTTATGGGATGCAAACACTGGTCAAGGGTTTACACAGTATGCAGAGCATGAAAAGAGAGCTTGGTCTGTTGATTTCTCTTCAGTGGATCCAACTAAGCTGGCAAGTGGGAGTGATGATTGTTCCGTGAAGCTCTGGAGTATTAAAGAGGTATTCTTTTCATACATTTGAAGAATTTTGCAGTTTAAAGCAATTAGTTGATCCGAAGCTTTAAAAGATAGGCTTCTCTAATAAAAGAATATTTTTCAAGTCGGCTGCATGTTCTTCAGAAGTCCTTCAAAAAATGCACTGATAACTGCATTAGACGAGTTCCTTAAAGCAAGCAGCTATGCCTGAAGCTTTATTTTCTATTACTTGCACTATAAGTTCTTCTTGGTTTGTTATTTTGTTGATGTAGCATCATTCATTTTGTTTTTTTCATTTTTTGTCAAACAGCTGGGTCCTCCACTTGATTTTTTTTTCTTGGCATTGTTGTTTTTTTCCTACGCCTTTAATCTTGATATAAATATTCATAATTGACTTGACTTGTTCGAATATGTATTTCTTGGCTTACTAAACTTTTTAATACTGTTTTGAAGACTAAAAGATGTCAGATAAGTGAGAATGAGTGTGTTAATTCCTATTTTTAAAAAATAAAGGTGATGCACAGGAGTGTGCGAATTATAAAGGAATTAAGTTAATTAATGTGTCATACTTTAAAACTGTGGGAGTGAGTTATGGAGCATAGGTTGCGGCTTCATACTAATGTTTCTCAAAACCAATTTGGATTTATGCCGGGTAGGTCTACTATGGAAGCCATACATTTATTGAGAGTTTGATGGAGAAATATAGAGATAATAAAAAGGATCTACATATGATATTTATTGATTTAGAGAAAGCATATGATAAAGTTCCAAGAGAAGTGCTATGGAGAGTTCTTGAAAAGAAAGGAGTTAATAGCGCTTATATTCAAATCATTAAAGATATGTATGTAGGAGCTATTACTTGTGTTAAAACACAAGGTGGTTTGACCAAGTATTTTCCTATTTCGGTTGGATTACATCAAGGATCAGCCTTAAGTTGAGGAATGCATCAAGCTTGTTGTGCGATAGAAAAGTCCCCCTCAAACTTAAGGGAAAATTCTATAAGATGGTGTTGAGACCTGCAATGCTTTATGATGCCGAATGTTGGTCATTAAATGACAAGCATACAAGCATAATACTAAGTTAAGTGTTGCAGAGATGAGGATGCTTAGGTGGATGAGTGGCTTTACCCTTAGAGATAGGATATGAAATGAGCATATATGTGAAAAGGTTGGAGTAGCTCCAGTTGAAGATAAGATTAGAGAGAGTTGCCTTAGATGGTTTGGTCACATTAAAAGGAGGCCTTCCAATGACCCGATTAGGAAAGTTGAGGTATTAGATTTGACTTATGTTAAGAAATGTAGATGTATGCCTAAAAAGAGTTGGTTATAAAATATTAGAAATGGTTTTTCTTTATTAGATTTAAATGAGAATTTGACTTTTAACCGGACACAATGGTGAAAAAAAAAATTATGTAGCTGATCCCACGTAGTTGGACAAAGGCTTGATGTTGTTGTTGTTCTTGTTGTACTAGCGTTATGGATTCAGTAGGTTATAGAATTTAAAGCCTGTTTTTTATAACCAACTCATTTTTGTAAGTTCATAATTTGTATTTTATATTGTTTAAAGACCTTATATTTAGTTTCTATTGATGGACAACATTTCCATGTGCTGCAGAGAAATTGCATTGCTACAATTAGAAATGTGGCTAATGTGTGCTGTGTTCAATTCTCGCCTCATTCGTCTCATTTATTGACCTTTGGCTCTGCTGATAACAAGATATTCTGTTATGATCTGCGGAACACTAGAGGTCCGTGGTGTACTTTATCTGGACATGGAAAGGCTGTGAGCTATGTGAAATTTGTGGACTCAGACACCCTTGTCTCTGCTTCAACTGATAATACGCTCAAGTTATGGGATCTTAACAAATCCAGCACAAGTGGGCTGTCCAGTAATGCTTGCAGCCTGACCTTTACCGGTCATACCAATGAGAAGGTTGTATAGTTCTATTTTTTTTTTTTTTCCATTTCTAAAACTTGAACTTACTCCACTTTCAGTATTAATTGATGTATATTACGTTTTCTTTGGCTGCTGGACTGCAGAATTTTGTAGGTTTAACAGTTTTAGATGGATTTATAGCATGCGGTTCAGAGACAAACGAAGTAAGTTTATTAATATTATCTTATAGCTCGCACTTTCCAAGTTTTAAGTGTAGCTTGTGTTTACAGCGTATTGAGTTTCAACGTTCTGCTTGTCTGCTATAATGTCTGGATTTACTGTTTTTTTTTTAAATGTTACACTGATTTGGCTAACATTTGGCAGTGTTTTGTTTTGCTCCTTACTGTGGTAATTGCACCTTGTTCGGTTACCAATCCCAACCATCAAATCCACTTTGGACTGTTGGGATCAACTTTTCACAACTAGACTTGAAAAATCTGGGTGGGATTGATTCCAATCTTTTAAAGTGAATTTTGGTGGCTATAGTGATTGGATAAGATCCGAGTTTCCTATTTGAAGCCTTCCACTAATTATTGTCAATCAATCCACTCATGCAAGTCCTCAAGTTTAAAATGCACAAACCCCTATGACATATTTGAATGCCCTCAAAGACCCTCTTATGCAATTCCCCATCTTGTCAATTGGACTCATTGCCCTCATGTGGAGGGTTCTCATCATAATATAGAAAATAATTGCAAGACTAAAATTCAGTGTTTACAATTATCATATCTAGCCTAATATGGAACCTACCATTAGATTCTTAAAAACAAATACTTATTTCTATACTACTTAATGCTACATATTTTATAGCCTTAATTATGAGCTATAATCTTGCATATATCCAACTAATATCTCCCCTCAAATTAATGTTTGTTGTTTAAGAAGAATCAATTTGCTAAAGAAGGAACCAATGATGTTGTTGTGGTGTCATTACTTTCGTAAAAATATCAATAATTTGAATGTTTGTAGAAATATGAGAAAGAGAAATAATATGACTATTGAAAGATTTTTTAATTTTGATGATAAACAATATTAGCAATAATTTGAATGTCTCTAGGATTATTCGTGTGGAGTGAGTTTATTTAAAAAAATCAAGTTCAGATAGAAGTTCAGAAAGCCAAATAATTTTAGGAGCTTGGTATTCAATCTTAGCAGATGATGTAAACTAGTGGTGTGATTCAAGAGGACTTGTGAGCTGGTTTGAACTCGGCTCAATAAATGGTTTGTGGGTCAAGCTTAGCTAGCCTCTGCTCGACTCGTTAGTTTGCGAATTGGTTCATTTAAAAGATATTAACATAAAAGATACATAAAATATATTATAATTCAGGAGTTTAAATATAAAGTTGTTAAACATATCTAAAAATTCTATCTTATTTTCTTTTTTGAAGTGAATTTTTATTATTTATCTTCTAATTTTTTATTTATTTTATAATTTTATTATAATAATTAATTGAATCACAATTATTTTCTCTTTCATTATGAAGAAGCTTGCTCATTAGCCGATTTGAACTCAATTAATTAATCAAGCTCACGCGTAGTCTAGGGGAGCTTAGCTCGACTCGTTTATACCCCTAATATAAACAAGATGGGTTTCTTGTTACTTTTTCATAAAAATAAGAGGCACTAAGAAACATACACCAGCTCGTAACAAACTGTCAGGTATCATGATAGTCTGTTATAGGATAAAGTAAAGAACTAGTTGGAAAGAATAAATCACAATTAATTATCCCAGTAAGATATCGAATGCTTCAACAAACGACAGCTAAATATCATGATGGGTAGTTTGCATAAATTGATGGACTTGCTGAACAATGAAGGAAATATCAAGTTGAGTAATCATCCACTCTCAAAATGCATAAGGATTAGGGAGAAGATTACCCTTTTCATTTTGATACTTTATCTTTACTTTTAATCTATCGGAGTATTCTTGAAAGAAGTGTTTTGAAAGCCTACCAAAGTAATAGATCATGTGAATACTTGTGTTGGTTCAAAAAATATCATAGTCATAAATGTCAACTTTCAAACCTAATAAGTAAAGGCATCAAAATGCTTATGTGGCCTAAAGATGACACAAATGGGTAATGAGTGCTAAATTTGCCCTAGTGATAACAATATCATCAACATAAATCAGGAGAAGATCAATATCACTAGATGTCTTGCAACGAAATAATGATAAGCAATATTGGCTTGGCTAATGATAAAGAAAAGAAGGCTACATGAAACTTATCAAACCATACTCATGTTTCATTTGTCAATCCGTATTGAGAGCGCTTTCGTTTTACATAAATTTAAGGAAGAGGAGGAAATGCCAAGTACAAAAATCATATAAATTTCCTCCTCAAGATCACTATGAAGAAAGGTATTTTTAACATCCATTTAGTAGAGTATCCATCCTTGTGAAGCAACAATAGAGCTAATCATTTACATTGTTGTCATTTTAGGTACATGAGCAAAAAAAAAAAAATTTGTCGTCAACCCCATTTTTTTGTTTGTTGCCAAAAACAACTAAATATGCCTTATAGCAATCCAGAATACAAGTAGAGTGAAGCTTGATTAAGTAAGTTAATTTGTAGTTAATAATTTTAGCATTTGTAGGACAATGGACAACTTCTCATATGGGTATCCTCGAGGACCCAAAGTTTTCAGCCATAAGGCTCAGCTAGATGATCAATTTGCACAGGCTTTGATGACGGGTCTGGCTGAAGAGGTGATTAGACATTTTTGTTCATGCGCAAATTATGATCTAAATCCTTCAAGACTGGTATCAATGCTAGGAAAAACATGTATCTCTTATAAGGCTCAAGATGAGCAGGGAAGAAAATGATGTTTGAAGAAAATAACATGATGAGATACAAGATCTTTTGGCTCATGAATAATAATGAACATATGATGCACATTTAACAAATTAAGCAGAATATTTTTTGCATTCACATGATTGGTAGATAAACTAAACATACAAGCAAAATGCATATTATGGTAGTTGGAATCTCTCTTATGAAAGCATGATAATAATAGGATTCAAACTTTAAGATGAACAAGGTAATATTTTAGTCAAATAGACTATCATGCCCAAGGCTTCATCCCAAAATTTAAATGGAATAGAAGATTTAAGCAACAATGTTTGAACATCAAATGCGTAGGAAGAATACCTAGGAAACAATTCCCATCTTTTGAAGAAAATCATGAAATTCATGACAGATATTCATCCCAAAATCTGATCTTAAAAGTAATGTTGGGAGGATAGTTAATACTTTAGAATTATGGTGAGGAAAATAAATTTAGGTATACTTGTAATCATCAGTGAATGCCACAAAGGATATAAAGTGTATGTGGTATAACATGAGTAATACCCCAGACTAATCAAGTCAAAATAACTTAAGCACAACTACCATGTGATTGAAAAAAGAAGAGGCTTGCTTTTCTTGATTTTACAAGATTAGGCAATAAAAAAGGATAAAAGAGAATTTATCTTTATTATTCAAAGAGATTTGAGTTTATTAAATTAGATAAAATAATATCATTTGGATGACTTAAATGTTTGTGCCATAGTTCATAATTTTGATTTATTGTTGTACAAGACAATGAGACAACCTTGTAAATTAAAGAATAGAAGGGAAATCATTGTCCAACTATAGGTCCCTTCACAAGTATCGTTCAATTCACCTGATTCTTTATAATGCAGCCATTATAAAAAAATCAAATATCACAGTTATTATCAATTAGTTTATATACTAAAATAATATTAGTACAAAGCTAAGAAGACTGTCTTTTTTATCATATAATTTATGCCTCAATAAAAATTAATAGGCAATTGACTACCCTTAACAATATAAATAGAGGATCAACCATGATATGGTTCAATATTGAAGATGCGATGAATGAGTCATGTGATCGGATGCAGGAAAACCCACAAACCAACTTGGAGGTAGGAGGTAGAAAAGATCTATAAATTTTAGCCCTAAGGCCGTTTGGGCTTGATGATTATATGCTGAACCATTTCAAAAGATGTTGAAGTGACGACTTGATCATCAGCAACCGTTTGTTTGGCATATGTTTGGCAGTTATAGGGATGATTAGAACATTCTTTAATAATGTGATGCTTCTTACAACAACAACATCAAGCTTTTGTCCCACTATGTGGGGTCGGCTACATGAAGCCTTTTTCTCCATTGTGCCCTGTTAAAAGTCAAATTTTCATTTAAATCTAATAAAGAAAGATCGTTTCTAATATTTATGACCAAGTCTTTTTAGGTCTACCTCTACCTTTCTTAATATAAGTCAAATCTAATATCACAACATTCTTAACCGTGTCATCAGAAGGCCTCCATTTAATGAGACCAAACCATCTAAGGAGACTCTCTCTAATCTTATCTTCCACTGGAGCTACTCCAACCTTTTCACGTATGTGTTCATTTCGTATCCTATCTCTAAGGGTAAAGCTACTCATCCACCTGAGCATCCTCATCTCTGCAATACTTAACTTAGTATTATGCATCTCTTTTAATGGCCAACATTCGGCACCATAAAGCATTGCAGGTCTCACCACCATCTTATAGAATTTTTCCTTAAGTTTGAGGGGGACTTTTCTATCACACAACAAGCCCGATGCATTCGTCCACTTCAACCATCCAACTTGAATTTTGCTGATAATATTCACATCTATTTCACCATCACTCTGAACAAAATATTCAAGATATCTAAAACATGTACTCTTATTAATGACTTGATCGTCCAAAGTCTCAATCCCCTTACTAGGTCTATTTTTACTAAAATTACACTCCATATATTTAATTTTACATCTACTCAAGCGAAAACCTTTAGACTCTATGGTTGACCTCCATCATTCAACTCCCTCTCTAGTCTTATCAACAATAAGAATATCATTAGTAAAAAGCATACACCAAGGTACATCCTCTTGCAAATGTCAAGTGAGAAGATCCATGACTAAAGTATAAAGATATGGGCTTAAGGCTGATTCTTGATGTAATCCAACTGAAATAGTTGGTCAAACCACCTTGTGTTTGAACACAAGTAGTAGCTCATGCATATATATATCTTTAATAATTTGAATATAAGCGTTATTTACTACTTTCTTTTCAAGAACTCTCCATAGCACTTCTCTTGGAACTTTATCATATGTTTTCTCTAAATCAATCAATAGCAT